CTCTGGACTTGTGAGCTATATGGTGTCTGTGTTATGCGGGTGGTTGTAGTGTAGGCTCTTTGTCTGTTCACAGTTAAGTTAACTCAGGTGAGAATTGTTGTTAGTAGATTGAAGTAGATTGCAGGTAGGTCTTCCACATAGTGGCTATGGTGGGACTAATTTTCCCTATCTTTGTTTGGTTCCACATAATGAGTTTTTAGTCTACTGTTGAGGACATTAGAGTTGTAATTTCATGGGAGGAGGGCAGGTTTGGGGTCTTCCAGTATCTGGCTATTAGCACTGACACTGTGCTTAACAGGAGGAACATAATTTTGAGTAGAATTGTCTTTGGCGTGTGTTCAAGCTCGTAGGCCATGACCTCATGGATCAATGTTATAACTTCCTTCCATAGGGTGTTCACTCTTCCGCATGTCCACCATACATGTAACATGGTGTCCCTGTGAGATTGGCATCTCCAACACATATCGGTCATTGCAGGGTATATGGAATGCAGGTGAGAAGGCACCATATACCACCTGTATAGTATCTTCCGTGATGTTTCAAAGTGTGTGGCACATGTTAATAGTCCATCATGTGCTGTAAAGATCTTCTATTCTCTTGGAGAAATAGTGTCTTGGAGGTCGGTTTGCCAGTCTGACATGGATTTCCAGGCAGTTTCTTCATCGAGGTTTGCAAGTTTATAGTAGCAAGTGGATAATGGTTTCCTTGGGGGGAGTATTGTTGTGTACTGCTGTTTAAACTTTGTGATGGAGGTGTGACTCGTAGTGACTGCGTCCTCACTTGTACCTTATTGTTTGTCAGAATTGCTTTGATTTGAAGGTAAGTGAACGTGTAGTTAGAGGGGAGTGCAAATTCTGTTTGAAGTTCTGAGAAGGGTCGCAGACCCTAAGTTGTGTATAGGTGGTATAAGTGCGTTATTCCTAGTTGGTCCCATTTTTGATATGGGAATGAGCCGTTACAGTTGTATAAGGTTTTAATCGGGGCGGCCAGGGACCACGGATGTGCCAAGCATAATTTGTCTCTACAAGAGTCCCAAATATTTTACAGGTGTCTGGTGGTGGGTAGCGTGCTTGAGAAAATTGTTCTAAAATGCTGGGGTGTCCATATCATGGATGGTAGATCCTGTACTTCACTTTCTATTTCAACCATTGGGGGGTGTACAGGGCTTTAATTACCAAGAGGAAGAGGGGTAGGAATCCGTATGCTGTTAGGGTTTCATTTAGGAAGTGCAAGTTCAGGCGATCAAACGCCTTTTCCGCGTCTAGAGAAAGCATAATGCTCTCCTGTTTGGTTTTCTTTATGAGTTTGTATAAGTCTAGCATGTTTCTTGTATTATCTGGGCCTTGTCTGCCTGTTATAAATCCCACTTGATCTGTGTGTACTAAGGTCGGTAATATGGTTTTAAGTCTTTCTGCATAGATTTTTGCGTACAGCTTAGCAACTGCGGGAGATTAGTCTTTAATTTTGACATGCAGTCGAGGTTTCCCCGGTTTAGGTATAGTGATAACGTGTGCAGAGAGAAATTCTGTATCTCCGCTGGGTGTGAGCTGCAGACCAATTGATAGAGTTCTCACACGCTGCGTTCAGAGCGTTGCGTTGTCTGACTTAGTGTGTTACTTCCTCCAGCAGCGTTCAGCTGAACAGGAGCATCTATGCAGGTAGCGTGTTAAATTAGTGTGCCACGGTTGGGGGCGTGTTCTCCTTAAGATGCATGTTTGGAGCGGGCTGTAGTGTCCAGGACAGAGGCGAGGGTAGTGTTATATGAGGAGATAGCCAGTGAGGGACAGGAGAGAGTAGGGATGGATAGAAGTTGGGAATCAATATTAGCTGCTGGAGGTCAATTACAACCTAGTTTTGCCCATGGAACAGCATTGAATGGCAATGGTGTAGAGTAGGCACCTAGTATTAGAAGGCTTTTCTTGAGAAATTGGTTTTACACTATATTTAATTGAAGGACTTGGTATTTGATACACACTTGGCACTGGATAGTGAAACATAGAGTAAAGTGATTGGGGAAAAGGACCAATTCCTTTACTGGAGCAGTTATACTTGTCTGTTTATTTAATTATATTAACCACCTACAAGTTTCACACTTGGTGCGTTGAAAGGGTAAAAGACGCCATCTAAAATTAATTAAGTGTCAATTGCTGCACATTGGACAATTTAGAGTGGTTCAAATATGTGTATTTTGTTTTAATTGGGTTTCAGTTTGCCTGATAATAAGTTCAGTGAATATAACTAGAATTTGTAAAGATCTGAACACACATTTTTTATGGCAAACCGAAATTTACTACAGCAAAATTCTGATGGTGCATCTGTAACAGTTTTATTTTGGCAATAGTTTATTCATTTTGTTTTAAAACTAAACAGAAAGGAACATAATTTTCCTCCAAAAAATCATTTGGTGTTATTCTTTTTACTTAGCCTTTTTATTTAACTTAAACACAAAATCTAGTAAAAAAAATAAAATAATAATAATTTTATTGTTTTACTGTTTTCCTCTTTTTTTTACACTTTAATAAAGGTAAAACGATTACAGATGGTATATGTGAGATGGTGTCACAGATGTGATAGTATGTCTCTGAACCAACAGACATTGAGCACACATTTCATTTTCTCTCTGAAACCCTAACTAATATGTTATTCAGAATCACTGGTGAACTTTGCATCTGCTGCCTTCGTCCAGCCAAAGTGTACAGGTGTTTCTGATGTAATTTAACAGCATGGTGTGGACTTGGCCTGTGAATGAATGTAATCCTTAAAATCCTTAAAAACACTATCCAAATTGGTCATGCTGGGTTTCCATTTGTTGTGTCTTCTGTTTCAACTCCTGTTTAAGTCAAGACCTAAAAAGAACCCACTAACTTTATTTTATTGATAAGACTTTGCAAAATACCACCTTCTCCAACCCTCAAAACCGCACAGAAAATAAAAATGTTTATTTTTTTTGTATTCTGAAAAATAGACAAACACTATAGAGTTGTAGCATTACTGTGAAATATCATATATCATAACAGGTTTGTATGTGTATATACAAACGTGCTTAATTAAGCACAAGGTGTCATGTTTCATCCTTATTTATTGTAATGTTTTAACCCCTTAAGGACCAAACTTCTGGAATAAAAGGGAATCATGACATGTCACACATGTCATGTGTCCTTAAGTGGTTAAAAATAAAATAGCAGTTATGTGTGGAATAAATCTGGAATCATAGGAAATGTATAATTGTCTTTACCTTTTCACTACTAACATATTTCATAATACAATGTCCTTGTATTTCAATTTCGAATTCTGGAAAGTAATGTGCATAATATCACTGCACAGATAATACAATTTTAAAGGCAAAATAATATATCAGTTCTTTTTCGATTATAGACATAATAAATAAATAGTGATGTCGCGAACATGAAATTTTCGGTTTGCGAACGGCGAACGCGAATTTCGGCAAATGTTCGCGAACCCGCGAACCTGGCGAACCGCAATAGACTTCAATAGGCAGGCTAATTTTAAAACCCACAAGTTGTTTCAAGGGGACTAACACCTGGACTGTGGCATGCAAACTCCGATCCGCGGCTGCATCTTGCAGCTGCTTAGTAGATAACTCCCTAATGCCCACGGTATTAGGGAGTTATCTACTAAAAGGCTGAAAGACCTAAATTGGTCTTTCAGCCACATTTACTAATACTAAGTAAAGATTACTTAATATTAGTAAATTCTGCCCTTACTCGCTATGCAGCGAGTAGGGGCATGTCTAGTAAGCAGTGAGCAGCCAGTGGCTGCTCACTGTAAAAAAAACAAAACAAAAAAAAAACCTATTGCCCCCACCCCTGTGTGACGGGTGGGTGCCATAAATTACAATGGGGGGGAGGACCTACTGTCCTCCCCCCCGGCCCCCACCCCTGGGCGGCGGGTGGGGCCATAAAGATAATGAGGGGGGGGACCTACTGTCCTCCCCCCGGCCCCCACCCCTGGGTGGTGGGTGGGGGCCATAAAGATAATGAGGGGGGGTGGCCTACTGCCCTCCCCCCCCGCCCCTACCCCTGCGCGGTGGGTGGGGGCCATAAAAATAATGAGGGGGGACCTACTGTCCTCCCCCCGGCCACCACCCCTGCGCGGTGGGTGGGGGCAAATAAATCACAATGGGGGGGGACCTAAGGTCCTCCCCCCTAGCCCCCACCCCGAGCGGCGGGTGGGGGCCCTAAATACTAGAAAGGGGGGGACCTAAGGTCCTCCCCCCCGGCCCCCACCACTGAGCGGCGGGTGGGGGCCCTAAATACTAAAAAGGGGGGGGACCTAAGGTCCTCCCCCCCGGCCCCCACCACTGAGCGGCGGGTGGGGGCCCTAAATACTAAAAAGGGGGGGGACCTAATGTCCTCCCCCCCAGCCCCACCCCTGAGCGGTGGGTGGGGGCAAATAAATCACAAAGGGGGGGACCTAAGGTCCTCCCCCCTGGCCCCCACCCCTGAGCGGCGGGTGGGGGCCCTAAATACTAAAAAGGGTGGGGACCTAATGTCCTCCCCCC